TCATTTTTATGCAAAGGCTTGCTGAGTAGAACATGGTTACTGACACGGCAACACAAGACACCATCATCATGGAGCAAACCACAGAATGCATTCACGTCTGTACTTTTCCTCTAGTCTGATATGTTTTAGGTGTTACAGCGTTACGGTTTATCATGACAGAAGGTAATCTTTTCCAGAAACAACACCCAATATGCAGCAAGCTGAATTTTATTTTCAATGCAGCCCATGCGAACTGCAGAAGTATGGAAGTGGCCTGTGATATGTAAATGTCATCCATCCCGTTGGCTGAAGGAGAGATATCGCTTGATTCCCCCGTCAACCTTTAGCATGGATGGAGAAATCTCGACCTACTGGTTATTATATGCAGACAGACAGCACCAGTGGCTGTGTTGGCTTGCTTTGCTCAAAGCAGGCCCAATGTAATGACAAGATAAAATCTATTGTTTTCAATAGGCCCAGTTCACAATGGGTGAAAATGGAACATGCTGCATTTAAACCTAGTGCATTGTGCCAAAAACACATTTCAATGTGTCATAGCATGCTGCAGTTAATAAAAAGACGTCTTCCTGTACTACTTGCCGGGATAAGTTCCCATGCAAAAATGCAGGTGGGTGCTTGCATGACCACAGTTGGCACCGTGAGATACAATACAAATTTAAAAAAAATTTCACCAGCACGCCAAAATATTTAGTGCAGACAATGTCCATTTATTGCCAAATATTGCCACTCAAGTGCAAGCGCTTTTGGGCCAGGCAGGGTCACCTTCATCAGCCTCAGAATGGTAACACACATATGTGCAAACACCATTTATATAGATATACATGATCAGTGAACACCAAGAACCTCCTTCTCCCTCCTGACGTCATATGACCTCATACTCCCGCCATTAATTAATTTAAAAACATACATGGTGGCAACAGGACGTTCAGCACGTAAGCTGAGAATCAGAGTCCTCTGCCGGTACTGCCCCCGTCCACTACGGCATGCGCCATGTGGAAACACAGGGTCCATGGTATTCTGCCTGTTCAGGCTCGAGTGGAGACAAACCTGCGCATGCGTGGGCTGTCATGGAGATGCAACAGCTGGATAAGACCTTAATGTATAGGTTAAGCATGCTGCAGTGTACGTTGAGGGAAAAAAAAAATATTTTGGCTTCTGCTGCAGAAAATAAAGCACATCAAATACAACACGTTAAACGCATTTCAACACTACACACAACGCATGTCATGTGAACCCAGCCTCCACCTTCACATTCATTAAAGTACTACAAACAGCAGTAGGCATAAATTAAGTTCAGTTCACTGGGGTCAGTTTAATAAAAGCGGAGTGTAAAGTTAGGTCCGCTTGATGGAGTTTGACTAGGAACGGTACAGTTATCAAACACTTATCATTGAACCCTAAAAAGTCTGTACCCAGGGTCACAACCCCAGTCCTGTGGCAATGTGCACTTGGGCTCTAATGTTAGCAGAGCCTTCAATGAAAGTGACAGAAGGTAGCAGACCTTTGACATGAACAGAAAGTGTGAAACCTTGAGGGTTAAATTACAAGGAACCTGGAGCGTGATATGAAACCTCTGAAAGCACACGTTTTACAAAGTTTCCTTTCAAACAAATGTACTTTAAAAGTGCACTCTACCTATGGGAGCATGTTTCATTTTACACCTATATTCAAGGTGTAACATGAAGTTCACATTCCCCAGCCCCCCAACCTTAAAACCTCTCCCCCAACACTTATCTGAATTGTGGGGCTTCTTCTGCCCGCAGGATTCTGTATTTATTTGAGCTCAGTGGATCTTGCTGTACAGCTGTGCCTTGTCCCTTCAGCCACCACGTCACAGAGTCATAGATCCTAAAAGGTGCCCATACACTGTACGATTATCGTATGAAAATCGTGGGAAATCCCGCGATCCTATGATAATCGCAAAGTGTATGGAAGGAGTGCGACCGTTTCTACTGTACGGTCGCACGTTTTCCGTCGAACAAGCAGGCTGGAAAACCCGCCGGGAATCGTACGATTCTCGGCCTGCTAGTGGCCTGCTTGTTCGACAACTGCCGAACGGGCCGGTGTGCACACGCGCACACTGCCCGTTCAGCATTGCAGTCATCGGAAGCCCGCCCCTCAGGGGGGCGGGCTTGCAATGATTGCAAGTATGATCTGCCTGTCCAAGATGGGCAGATCGTACGTTTTTTTAATTACTTTACAACCCTCGCAAGATAAAAGTCTTGCGTGGGTTGTAAAGTGTATGGCCACCTTAATGCAGTACAAGTGTGGTAACGCCACCAGACTTGCATTCCACTGATTACTTCCTCCATCCCCAGAACTAAAGGTCAGTACAGACCTAGGGCTAGGAGAACAGTCTGCAGGAGCCTATGCATTGCATCTGTGATCCATTAATCAGTTGCAATGCTTTGTTGGCTTGGATGTGAAAAAATCATAAATGCACATTTTGTTCCTTACATTAACGTGTATGTATTTATTTTTATTTTTTTGAAGGTAGACTAAGCCTTTCTACAGATCATGTCTGTTTAAACAGATGATTTCTGATTGGTGTTGGTCTAAAGCTGGCCATACACCTTACAATTATGTGCAGATTTTCTGTGGTCAGATGGAAAAGGTGCAACAGATTCCTCCATCAACACTTAACTGTGTGGATGGAGTAATCTCCACCTGGGCCAATCTGTTCCACTTTTTCCATCTGACCACAGAAAATCTGCAGATAATTGTAAGGTGTATGGGCAGCTTTACAAAGGGCTTACCTGACTAGTGCCCACAAGTTACTCTATACAATTTCCCTTATGCTCTCTCCTATTTGCCTGTCTTTATATCCTGACGTATTCTGGTTGCCGAGACACATTTCTTAGCTGTCTTGGTGATCAGGGTTCTTCCATCCTTGTGTAAAACCACTTGAAGATATTATGACAGACAGACAGATCCAGCACATACAGAACTGGAGCCGTCTTCCTACAACTATACATTTCTTCTTCAAACCATGCAAACAGTGTTAATACAATTGTAAATGATTATTGTAAACATTTCAAACATTCTCAATATATTTGTACATTTCTGTCTGTACCAAAGCCGACGATGAGAGTACAGTAACATTGTAACATCATGTGCAAGGAAAAGCTAGTATTCCCAGGGTGTAAAAGGGAAGAGGTGTGTGGTCTAATTAGTCCTACAGAGGCAGCTAGTGACATGTTAGGCCAAGATTGTTTACAAAACACAACAAATAGAAACATCCCGGGACCAAGACTCCTATGGAATGGTCAGTAACCCTTTCACTGACAAGCTTACCTTAGGGGAGGCTTAGCTGTTCAGTTCCTACTTTCCAAGGCCAGTCATTATTTTGTGGAATGAAAGGTAGACTATTTAACATGTACTAGCGCAGTAAACCAATTGTGGGACACTTAGGTGTTTTGGTTTCCTTTAGGACTCGTTCACGCAATATGGGGTGAGCTGCATTTTTCTGCAGAAGAAAAAACGCATGTCACAACTATGTTCCCCATTAGTATGAAGAAGTCACTCGCACTCCAGCTCAAGTTCAGTCAATATTTTATTGACCTCTGTGGTGTCACAACAAGGCGACGTTTCAGGAACCCATTTGGTCCCAAACAAAGGGGCTCTTTGCACCCTATTCCCTGCCGCCAGCCACTGTCAGAATACCCAAATGGAGCTTGGAGCTGATTGGCTGCAAAGCTCCATTCGGCCGTACATTTTCCAACACATTCCTTCAGCAGAAGTTGTTTGGAAGGAACATGTTGGAAAATGTTCAACCAATCAGCTGCAAGCTCCTTTCAGGTATTCTGACAGTGGCTATCGGCCGTCAGAGGAGTTTTCAAACTAGTTTCAGCCCAGGATGGATAACCCTTTTTAAGGGTTTAAAGTAGGAATGCACCGATACTGATACTAGCATCGGTGTCGATACTGAGTATTTTGGCGAGTACGAGTACCCAAATGCTCCAATACCTTCCCCGATACCGGAACTTCCGATCCTGTAGGGGAACATGGAGCCGGTTGACGATCAGCATGGAACCGGCCGAACAGCTGGTTCGATGCTTAATGGCTGGGAAGCTTGCTTTCCATCCAATCAGCATGGAGCCGGCTTCTCGGCCAATCAGGAAGCCGGGAGATGGGCCATTACTCATCGCCCGGCTACCCGATCGGCCAGGAAACCGTTTCGATGCTGATTGGCCGGGAAGCCAATCTCAATCAAGCCGGCCAAAAAACATTGAGAAGGCTTCCCGGCCCACCAGGAAGCTGGGCGGAATGTCATTACCCGCCGCCCGGTTTCCCGATTCCCCAGGAAGCCGCCTCAATGCCAGCGAAAGCATCGGTATCGGTACTCAGTATCGGCGAGTACCGAAAGCAAAATAACAGTACTCGATACCGTAAAAACGGTATTGGTGCATCCCTAGTTTAAAGGATATGCTCTTTAAAGATACAAGGAATGAACTGGGCATCAGGGGAGAACCTGGAAGGTAAACACTCTACCCTACCTACCCCAAAGTGAACCTGTCATTTTGCTCCTGACCTTTCTGGCTTGGAAAAGCTTCCTCTATCTGGGACAAGAACAGACAGATTCTGATTATGAGATTCATCATGAGCGTGCATTTAGCCTTTAAATATTTCAGCTGTGGAAAATGAACCCTAAAGCAAAAGCAAAGCACTGGTACACACTGGAGGCAGCCTTCTGTAGGCCAAATTGTTATTTATGAAACTGTCCAGTGTTAATTCCCCAGAAACGTGTGATATTACTGAGGCACTTTCATCTCAGGGAAGAAATAAACGCTCTTCTCATTAACACTTCAGCCAACAAACGGCTGCATTGCAGCTACTGAACATTTCCTCCCAACGTATTGGCAAGGCATGCTGGGAAACCAGGCGCAATGACCGTCCAACCAGAAAGACTTGCTAAAGAGAGAGGAACAATTTCCCTTGTATAATTGCTTCATCTACATAAGACTGTACTCAGAAAGATTGAAGTGACGTTATAATGTTACCTATAGCCGGAGCATTAATGCAGAGTTCTCTGGCCAGCAGAAGAAAGGTTTTCCCCAGGACATACACGTTCACCTGCCAGGATAATAGAAACACCATTATACTACCTGAGAAGAATAGGAACTTACAGAATCAAAAGAAAAGCATTATTTTAAAGCATTTTTAAAGTGAGCCGCTCATATCAAAAAATGAAATCACAAAATAACTATTTCCACAACAATTTGCCTAAAAGTGACTTTCGCTGTCAATCTGGGGCTACAAAAAACAGGGACAGGCAAACTTCGGTCCTCCAGCTGTGGTGAAACACAAATCCTGCCATGCCTCTGTGAGTTATGTTGGTGGCTTTGAGAGTCTTGCAATGCCTAACTGGATCTGTAGTTCCAACACAGCTGAAGGGTCGAAGTTTGGCTACCCCTGCCCTAGAGCAGCCAATATACTTCCGACCGTCTTTTCTGCAATGCAGATTAAAAATGAAGCAAGCATTTTCTGGAGCACGCTGTGCACAGACTTACACGTTAGACCCGAGCTGGTAATCTGGAATATGCATAGCTGTGACTGGTTCTCTTTAATCTTTAAATGCATCTAAAGCTGAATGGGGAAGGATTACAGCCGTCAAGTTTTTATTGCTTTCTGTGGGGAAATTCCCTTCCTCTATTTATCCTGATAACTACTGGACATCATCCAGACCGACAGGAATGGCAATTCCAACATTTTACAGCTAATAATAATTATTATTATACAGGATTTTTATAGCGCTTTACAATGTAAGGAAGACATTACAATACAATTCAAGACACAATGGTAAGGAGGGCCCTGCCCCTGAGGGCTTACAATCTAAAAGGGACGGGCCAGTGATACATGAGGAAGTAGCTGTGTGGGGATGAATTGTATGAGAAAGTGATGGTTCAGTGGTTAGGTTGAGGTGGGATAGGCTTACCTGAAAAAATTAGTCTTAAGGGATCGCCTAAAGGCAGTCAGAGTGGGAGACAGACGGACAGGTTGGGGTAAAGAGTTCCAGAGGGTACTTGTGTATTGTAGGAGTGCTGGACCCCTTGAGTGGATGAGGATTAACAGTGCAATTTCTAATATTTGGAGGCAGCTCTCTGTTGACAAGGATAATCCAAGAAGTCCCTGGAAACGTTTGTAGCGTATTGGAATAACTCCAGGGCCTTATGGGGTATGGACCTCCGTTATGGAGCTGGAGGAAGAAATCTATAAACTGCAAGTGAGGTGCCATCGCCGCACTTTTGCAGCATTGAGGTCTAAGAAGCACCTTTGTCCTGGTGGCAGATGGGACTTCTAATCTTTCATTCACTGATCTGTGTGAATGAATTACATGGCCATGCACCCAGCCATGCCAAACCTCCAAAGTCAGGTAAGAAGAGGGGCAGTTTGAGGGCTGTGGACAGTGACCATGTTCCCTGTTACACCCTAAATATGGGTGTGACATGAACCATGGTCAGAAAGGTGGGATCAGCCTTTAAACTATGCTGGCTTTTGGAGTTTCTCAGGGATACCAGTCGTGAGATCGTCTTGCAGGGGGTTAAAAGCTCTATGCATCCCATGTCAACTAGCAGCACTCAATCCCCAGTTTCTCCATCATACAAGAAATAGATTACAATTATCAGTGCATAGTAGGAGTGAGAGCGTTGTTTCACACCCCAATAAATAGTATACATATCCGTGATTAAATGATCGTTTTACCAAACCCAAGTATGCAGGCACTTGGGAGAGGGGGGCTTAAAAATCCCCCTTTCCCAAGTGCCTGCATACTTGGGTTTGGTAAAATGATCATTCGATCACGGATATGTATACATCATACAAGAAATGACAATGAAACAGGACTGCATGGGACCTTTATAGGAAGTAGCTATCTGCACTAGAACTACCAGGATGAGTGCCATATCCGCCTTGTATATGAAAGCTGTGGAAAGAACTGTGCCCGTGCTGAATCAAGGCAGAGTCAAAACTGCACTAGAACACAGCAGCTGGGGATGTTGTAATCAGATTAGCCGTTGACCAATAAGGACAGCTCTCATCGAGCACATGTCAATAAATAAGGCTTACCAACGTGCAGAGGACACATAATCAGAAGGGGACAGACGTTCATATACATGAGTTACCATGAGCATCAGAATCCTCCTGGAAGCGGCACACTTATCACACTGGTACTGGCATAAGGTTTTTCCTACCCTCTGCTTCTCCAATATCAGTCTATGTACTGCATTTAAGTCTAACTCCAACCTTAGCTTTAGGATAGATTCACATTTCTGCGTGCATGTGTTATTAATGATAGAGCCTATTCATGTGCTACTATTGTCATTATTAGGTTCTATGACGCACGCTGACACATCAGAAAACAGACAAAGCACATCACTGCATCACTTAAAGCGGACCTTTACCCATATCTTTCTAATAACAACAAAGACTCTTTTAGAAATGTTTAGTAATGACAATCTACACACACATACTTCTAGATAATTGTCGGCTTTGTATTCTTTGCATACTTTTTCTCTTTTCTTCTCCGTGATTCTGACAGTGGCCATGTTTGCGGAGGGCAGATTACTAGCTCTCCTTTTACTTCCTGGATTTCTGGCACATGTGACTAGGACATGTGACCGTGCACATCATCTCAGGGGAGGAAAATGCCTTTCCCTGAAATCTCATGAGATTACAGATGAGATTTCCCAGCAATGATCTGCTGATGACAAGACAATCCCAGTGTGCATTGCTTTGCCAAACTGAAGTCATTTTGCCCTTTCAAAGCAGGAAGTGAATGCTCTGCAAGTGTAAGTATTTCATAATCACAGCAGTTTACACCTGACATGTCTATGTTACTATTAATCATCATGCATAGAGGAATGCATTGGTAGAATTTGATTTTTGAGTGTAAAGGTCTGCTTTAAGAAAAATGTTATATCGCTGTGTCCCTTCAGAGATTCTTCCTTCATTTCTCACACTGGTGACATGATATGACACCAAGTTTCATTGTGACAGGAAGTGAGGAATAAGCTCCCAAAAGGGTATGCAGACAGTAATACAATCTGATAGATTCTAAACCTTCTCCACTCACTTAAAAACAGAACCTTTTTTTTCCCTCGCTATTAGTGTCTCCATCAGAGATTTCTCGTTTGTCTGGAGCAGGGTTTTAAAGAGACCCTGTCACCAAACTCCAATCTTCCCATAAGATTTATGTATTTTATGCATGTTATTTACTTGCAAATAGGTAGACATCCTAAAGTCCTGGGTTCAGCCATCTTGGAAGTGATGTCCCTGCCGACACTGTCTAGCAGGGGTGACCAAACCTCGGCTCTCCAGCTGTGGTGGAACTATAACTCCCATAAGGCTTTGCAAGACTTACAGCCACAGATACGACTTCCATGAGGCAGATGCATGATGGGATTTGCTGTTTCCCAACAGCTTGAGGGCCAAAGTTTGGCTACCCCAGCTTTAGAATATTCCCCTTCACTCTTAATCCAGCAGCTATGTAAAAGTTTATGTAGGGAGGTCTGAAGGAGCTGGGCCAGCACAAAGATTAGACACTCCTAGAAGAGGAGAGGGCTATGACATACAAGTAGGGAGTGAGCTATGCTAGGGAATTTACTTTTCCTAAAGAAATCACATTTGCTAGCAAGTTTATAAGCTACATTGCAAGTGTATTAAAGCAATCCTTATGGAAAGGAAAAACGCCGCAAGTAAGTACTTAAAGGAGAACTATGGGGTGAGTGATTTCCTCTCATCCTCATAGGTCGAGCCGACGTGTGACAAAGAAGCTGTCACAGGTCGGCTCTATTGATCTGGAAGTGAGCAGAAACATGCAGCCGATCCGCTTACTTCCCGATCATCTCCCTGCAGTGAGCGGTGACCGTCAATCATCGCTCACCGCAGGGATTCCACCCCTCCCCGGTCCTCCAGCTCTGAGTGGAGGAACGAACGGGGGAGGGGGCGGGCACTGCTGGCTCTGCCTCTAGATAGTAGAGCCAGCTGTCACTCACACTAAGCTTTGGGTCATGGGAGGAGGTTAGTACTGTATATGTCATCCTGTGACCCTAAAGAGAACTATGGGGAAAAACATTTACCCCATAGTTCTCCTTTAGGATACCCAATATTCTGTGTATGTACCTACATTTCTTAAGTTGGTGACAGGTAGGTTCTCTTTTTTTCTTACAATCGCCTCATTGATTGCTTACAAGCATCAGATAAAACTCACCCATGTAGCTTAGCCCTAAAGCAGGAAACTGCACATAATGAATATGGGTGCACCCAGAGCAAATTTAGCATTTCACTATAAATTTACTCCAGACTCAGCAGAAACATGTTACTCTTTGGACTTGGGGAACTGCTGCATGTTCAATAGCTCTTTTCTTTGTGGACGATTACCTGAATATAAAACCCTCTTTTTATCCTCTGCTGAAGAAAAACACCTTCTTATACTCCATTCCATTTTGTCCTTCATCCGGCTAGTAACGCAGCCCCCATGCCATGTTCCTGATGAGTGAAACCAAACGAATAAAAGCCGCAGAGCTCTATAAATTACCCGGCTCTGCTCTTTATTTAGCTTGTGCATTTCTCCCTCCCGAATCTCAACTGGAAATCCTATTTCTGGTTTCTATTTACACAAATGTAAACTGCAAAATATGGAAAAAACATTTTGTAACATTTAGAAATAATGGTAAATGTTTAGGGCTTGTTCACACCACAAACAGTGCGTTCCATTCCGATCGCATCCCGGCCGGCTCCTTGCGTTCAGGGGCCGGAGGGGGTGTGGCATTGAATCAATGGCACCACCGCCCCCCTCCGGCCACAGTGCGATCGCCCGCACCCGAATGCATAGCACATCAATGCCTGAGTTACGGTCTGGTTCGATCAGAAAAAAACAGTGCATGCACTGACCGCACCAGACCAGAACACAGGCATTGATGTGTCATATGTTCGGGTGGAGGCGATCCCACTGCGGCCGGGGGGCGTGGCTGTGGTGCCATTGACTTTGATACACCGCCCCACCCACTTCCACCCCTGAACGCAGGGAGCCGGCCAGGATGTGATCCAGTGTGTTCCGGCATCAAATTGGGCAG